ATTATATATATATATATATATATATATATATATATATATATACACACACACACACACATATATAATGTTTCTATCTGTGTGTGTGTGTATAATTTTTTTTAGCAATTTCAAAGTTGGTTGTTGTGAGACATCCTTGTAAACTCCCTTTGAGCAAACACTTGTCTATCACTCAGGTATTTCAAAATCTGATCCTTTCCTTGTTCTCACATTCTTCACACATGATTCTTCAGCCCTCTAAAGTGACCTGAATTTTCTGTATTTCATGTTTTCTGCTTTTAGTATAATTTAGCTCATTAACTTTATGTGATAGTTTAAATTTAAGTTTAAATGAACTTCAAGTTTCTATTCAAGGAAATGCTGGCCATGTAAGCTTTCTCTGGCCTTCTTTAAGCTGTTAGAGACCTCTCCCTCTGTGTTTCTTTGGCGCCCTCTACAGTGAGTTATTCACATAGTTTAAAGTAATCCTGCTGTTAGGTATCATGATGGTGATTTTCATGTGTGTCTCTCACACTGGACCACATATTGGCAAAATCTAGTTCTTAACAAGTACATAGCTGCTTTTTAATAATTTCTAATACTTATTCAATGTAGACTCTGAGAAGATAAAGATTTCTGTTCATCTGATTTACTTCTGGGGTGTGGCACTTATTGCACTTTCTGCTTTGTATGCATTCAGTAAAAATGTTGGAATGAATGAACAAGAATATGAATGAATGAGTAAACAATCAAATATAAAATAGCATGAGTAAATAACTAAATACAAAGCCATTTATTTCCTTTTCCAGGTTTCCAGTACACGAAATACGGATGCCGAAGGAAAAGCGACAATAAAATGGTGCACCGCAGCTTCTGTGAGGCCAACAAGAAGCCAAAACCTATTAGACGAATGTGCAACATTCAGGAGTGTACACATCCACTGTAAGCACTAATTTAACTCTCATGGCCTGGGGTCAAAATAGAAGTTTAAATGTCTTTCTAGTTTTCACTTGATTTTTAAATAGTAAAATCATTTCATAAGAATCACGTGAAGCTATGGTTCTCTGCCTTTCACCATTGCCATGTTCCTCTGAAACAACTAGTACCAGCTGTTACATTTCTTTTGCTATTTTATAAGTACTTGTTTTCATCTCTCCCAGTAAAGTGTTTTTGCTTCTCTTCCTTGACTTCTGAGGAGACGAGGTTAGAAATTTAAGTATTGACTTTCTCCTGGGGAATGGAAGGAATTAACATTCTTTAATGACCCTTCTCCAAATGCATGTCCATTGCCTGCATTTCTTCCTTCTCCAGTATTTCCAAATGATAGAGTATACTTTTTAATGATATTAATAGTCAGGGTTTATATTATTTTAATGTATATCTCTCTCAAGAGCTATTACAGAGCATGCCCTGATTTGTTTCTTATAATCTTTTGATTTTTATGTGTTTGATTTTCTACTGCTTTTCACTAATTCATCCCCAAACTCTTCCTTGAAGATCAATCCTCTCTAAATAACAACTGCTCAAGTATCCTGTCACTTCACAGGGACAGAAGAGTTCTTAGACAACCAAGAATTCACTGTGTTCCGGGTCCAGCCTAGACTTCTACCCAGCTTTCATCCTGGGGTTTCTACTATCTTCCTAGGGATTTCCACAGCCTCTCTCTTGTAAGGGATCTCATGTTTCTCACCTTAGTTGTCATTTCATCTCTTGGTTCATTTGTTCATTCATTAAGGTATGTTCTATATTCCAGTAGCTTCATGAAAAAAGAAAAGTATACAACAGGCTAAGTATAAGATTATATAAGGATTCTTTCTTCTATTTTCACTCTTTACCATTTGGATATACACTTATACATACAATTCCTAATTATAATATATTTTCCCTCAGTATGTTGAAAAAGTTGTTCCATTACTTCCTAGACTTCAGTGTTGCTGCTAAAAGTCAATTTTTCTGAGTCTATAGATATGACCTTTACTTGTGACCTGATTTTATTTTATTATCTTTTAATGTTTGTAGGGATTTTGTTTTTGCTCCCAGGATCCTGAAATTTAGAGGAATGAAATTGCCTTGGTGGTCTTCTTTTCTAGTCCATTGTTCTATATAGTTGTAGACTTTAATAGCCCAATAACATCTGGATATATTTATGGGGTACACTATGTTTTTTTTGGACAATGTAAAATTATTAACTCAGGCTTATTAAAATCTGCTCAGCAATTTTGAAGTATCCATTATTATTCACTATAGTCAGCATGCTGTGCAATATATCTCAGAAATCTATTTCCCTGCCTGAAACTTGGAAATCATTGGTCAACATCTCCCCAAAGCCCCCTTAGAGCCATCCCAGTGTTGAGTAACCACCATTCTCTTTGCTTATACAACTGTGGCTTTCTTCCATTTCACAAGTAACTGAGATCATGTGGACTTCTCCTTCTGTGCCTAGTTCATTTTACATTGCATCATGTCCTCCAGGTTTATCCATTTTGTCACATTAACACTCAGACGTTAAAATATGAAACCCATGTTTAGGGCCAGTAGATGGCATAGTAGTTACATCACTGGACTATGACGTGGCCAACCACAGTTCAAGCCCTGGACCTGGTGACTTAAAAATCACACCAGGTACATGTGCATGCATACCCAAGATCCCAGGAGGAGAAGGGATTGCCACATGGCTATCTCCCCAGGGGCTGATTTCTCACTTGCCCTCTGACTATCTCCTTGGGGGTTGATTTCTCACTTGCCCTCTGGCTGTCTCTGTCTCTCTCTCCAGCAAGTGCATGCACCCTATGGCAAAAACCTCTATAAAAATATATATAAATAAAAAATGTGTGTGTGTGTGTGTGTGTGTGTGTGTGTGTGTGTATCTGGGAGCTTTCTTCTATTTTCCTTGAAAAAATTTTCTGTGTGTTTCAATGTTCTTTCTTTCTGTGGTGTTTGTAGTTCAGCTTTTCTCTCCTATTGTTTACTGTTTTATTGTCTGGATTCATTAATAGCTAACAGATTTGTTTTGTTCAAGTATTCCTTTCTCCAAACATTGGAGTCTTATTTCACAGATGCATTTTATCTCTTTTAGAATATCACTTTCTTTTTCATGCATTTTTATTATTTTTCTTTTTCCCCCGTCCTTCTCTTTCATCATTTGTGTTAGAATATTTCTGTGCCTATCCTTATCAGTCCATGCACATAAAAGAATAGTGTTTAAAGGACTGAGTGGAAGTTTGTTTCATAATCAGGACTTGTTAGCTGCTAGGCTTTATGATAGGGTGATCTGGCTCAGCCACCCCCTGAAAGACCCGTGATTAACTATTTAGACTTTTCATAAAAAACTATCAGATTTTATAGAGTAGAATCAATCTCTTGCCTAAGAGATATAAGCTTGGTTTCTAGCTGTTCTGGAAATTTTCTGTGCACTGGTGTCCAGTGGCTCTCTCTGGTGATCCCACAGAGGGATTTTTACCCAGCCCTCTGAATTCACTCCTGTTTCCTTCCCTCTTGATCACAACTGTTATACCCCTGTCAAAAGTCTGGTTCCCATTCTTGTGTCTTCTTTTGTGGTAGAGGAAGGGCACTCACCTTGTGGGCCTAAGGATCAGGAGGGCCTGACTGCTCGACTTTCCATAGGTTCTTCTGTTTTCAGCACTGATTTCACCCTCTCTGTCACAGCTCACATATCACCTGAGGCCATGCATCACTGCACATTCCTAAAGTCCTGCAAGTGCAAATCAGTTTGCTTAGCAGCTAACACTGCCAACGGTGTTGCTGTGGCTTCCTCTCCACTTTCTTTGCTTTTGTGGGTTTATAACATGTTTCTCCTTTATTATAATTCTGGGAAACTAGGGGAGGGAATAAAAGGTAACTAGGAAGTGTACTTCTCATGTAATATTTGTCTGCAAATAAGAGTCACTATTGAGGCCTTTAAAACTGAGGAAAATTCCTTAGTCTGGTTGCCACACTACGTGTTACTGGCAGTCTGACTAGGTAGGGCAGTCTTGACCATGAATACCAGAGATTACTAAGGTTTTAGCATGATTATGTTTTCATGCCTCATATGTGTGAGAAGAATAGAGG